GAATGGGACAGGGGGCGGCCGAGCGGGTAGACAGGGAGGGACTGGATGGGGCAAATGGGCTAGTGGCAGAGCCCTGCAAGACACAGAGGAGGTGGGAGGTGCTGACGGGCGAGGGGGGCGCCGTGCTCAGAGGTTTGTAGAACTCTGGGTCAGGAGGGACCATTAGCTTAACTCAGCAGGGCCGGCACCGTGCAGGCTGTTGCAGTGCACACGGCTGCCCTGCGCCGAGCCCAGGCACAGGCCTGTCCCAGGGCACATGCCAAATATGCAGCTCCAGAGGCCACCCAAACATTTGGGGTACCACATTTTCAGACGCCCCTACCCAGGCATGTATGCTTGTTTGCCTGAGGAGGGCATGGACTAGCTCTGCTGGTTCCTCTCTGGCCTTTCCCCACGGCTTCTCCTGACCCCTCCTCCACGTGTCCCCTCAGCCCGCTGGCCGGGGGCTCCCTGCCACCAGACTGGAGCCCCCAGCCTCTGCAGCTCCCTTCCAGCCCCAGGGGAGCCCTTGAGTCCCTGTAAGCTGTGGGGGAGGGGAGGAGGAGGATGGAGGGAAGCCCCAGGCCCCCAGCAGTAGCCTCGTGGTAGGGGAGGAAGCACCAGGCCCCTAGCTAAAGCTGTGTCGGGGGGGCTCAGTTGTGTAGGGCCCCATAACTTGTAAGGACAGCCCTGCCCAAGGCCCTAGTAACACCCTTGGGTACTGTGCTGCTGAGTGCACGGGCAGAGGGCTGGGAGGCCCCGGTGCCTGGGCCCCTGCCATGGCAGGGAGTTGATCAGAGGGGCTGTGGCCAGCTCATCCACTTCCACTGGCTGGGAAAGGCAAAACCCTGCCCGGGGGGAGGATTCCTGCCCTGCACACCTGGAGGTCAGCAAGACCTTGAGTAAGTTTGTGAGGCCCAGCAGCCCGGCAGGCGATTCTTGGAGCTACCGCACTCTGTGGGCCTGGGGGGTCCTCCCACCGCAGTGGTCCCCAGCTCCTCCCACCCAGCCTGGTTCCCTGGGGCACCCCTTGCCGGCTGGTCGGCTCCCCAGCCCTCACCCTGTATCCCATGCAGAGGACATCGCTGTGGTCTTCCGGAAGGACGGGTGGGAGAGCAAAGCGGACTTCTCGCAGGCCGACGTGCACCGGCAGATCGCCATCGTCTTCAAGACGCCCCCGTACCAGCACCTGGACATCCTGGAGCCGGTGGAGGTGGAGGTGTATCTGCAGCGCCTGACGGACAGCGTCCGTAGCGAGCCCTTCCACTTCACCTACCTGCCCAAGGACCCCGGTAAGGCCTGCCCCACAGAGCCCAGCCTTGCTGCTCACAGCCCTGGGGAAGGGCCCAGAGCAGCTCCCTCTGTTTACAGCCCCTTGCGGGGCGGAGGGGGACCGGGGAAGGAAAGGTCAGGGAAGGCCCAGTGCATCCCCTCATGGAAACCAAGTGCAGCCCCTGCTAGTCACAGCCCATAGGGAATACGGGGAGACACAGCCATATCAGAGGGGGTGTGGGGGGCATGGAGGCCCCAGAGCGATAGGGGGTCAGGGGAGCTCAGAGCAGCCCCAATGGACACAGCTCTGTGGGGTGGAGCAGGCCACATGCCCACTGGTGCCAGGCAGTTTCAGGAGGGGTTTGTGGCCGTTTCCTGGGGTTCAGGGCTTGCCCATCTCCGCCTCCCCCTCCACAGACGCGTACGGGGTGGACGTGAAGAGGAAACGGGGGATCCCTGATGTCCTGGAGGAGCTCTCAGCATCGGGTGAGCACGCAGGCCTCAGCCCCGGGCCGGCTGGGGCTGGGGCTGGCCTGGGTCGGGGGCGCCGCCTCCCCCTCCACAGACGCGTACGGGGTGGACGTGAAGAGGAAACGGGGGATCCCTGATGTCCTGGAGGAGCTCTCAGCATCGGGTGAGCACGCAGGCCTCAGCCCCGGGCCGGCTGGGGCTGGGGCTGGCCTGGGTCGGGCGCCTGGAAAGAATCGCTTGGCTCCTGGTCTGGCTCTGCGCATGCCAGGGATGGCTGAAGACTCCAGCTTGGGCGCGGGGCTTTCTGGTGCCATTGGCTGGGGGGCTGGGCTCCCAGTTGGGACTGGCCAGCTGGTGGCGTCACTCCCCTCAGCGTCTCCCATCTCCAGAATGGCACCGGGCATCTCGCTCCCCAGCCGAGCTCTGG